GGACAATCAGCTCCTGACATTCGTGGTAAGCTCCAATGGCTGGAGGGCCTACAAGGGTACTCCTTACAGGATTTAGTAAGAGAAACTGAAAGAGTCTATAATAAGTGAGAAACTTTAGAAGAAAGAGAGGACAGAATCAGAAAAGAGCAGGAAGCTAGAGAGGATAAGAGAGAGAAAAAGAGAAATAAAGAATTAAGTCGAATTTTGGCCACAGTAGTTCAGGGAACAGGACCAGGACCAGGTAGGAACCTGGGAGACAAGAGAAGGCCCCAAGTACATAAAAGACCAGTGTGCCTATTGCAAGGAAAAAGGACACTGGGCTCGAGAATGTCCAAAGAAGCTGAAAGACTTCAAAAGAAAATAACCCCAGTCCTGACTCTAGGGGACTAGGGAAGTCGGGGCCAGGAGCTCCCCCCTGAGCCCAGGGTAACCTTGAAGATAGGGGGGCAATTGACTACCTTTATGGTAGACACAGGAGCTCAGCACTCGGTCCTAACAACAATTGAGGGACCTATGAGTTCCAAGATGGCCTGGGTTCAAGGGGCCACTGGAGGAAAAACATACAGATGGACCACAGAAAGAAAAGTGGACCTTAGCACAGGACGAGTCTCTCACTCGTTCTTATTGGTCCCCGACTGTCCATACCCTCTTCTTGGGAGAGATTTACTCTCTAAGCTGAGAGCCTACATCCACTTCACTAGAAAGGGAGCTACTGTAAAAAAAAAAAATAGAGCTCCACTACAGGTATTAACCTTGCGGCTAAAAGATAAACATCGGTTATATGAGGGACCAATAGCAGGATATCTGGTATATCTGATTGGCTAAGTAAAACCCCCTCGGCATGGGCCAAGACAGGAGGCCCAGGACTAGCATACAACCAGCCTCCAATAGTGGTTACACTAAAAGCACCTACAACTCCGGTTTCAATCAAACAATACCCTATGAGCAAAGAGGCCCGAGAGGGAATCAGGCCCCACATCCAAAGACTTTTACGAATGGGCATACTTCACCCTTGCCAATCCCCTTGGAACACCCTGCTGCTCCCCGTGAAAAAGCCAGGGACAGATGATTATAGACCAGTTCAAGACTTAAGAGAAGTCAATCGGAGGATAGAAGATATCCATCCCACTGTTCCTAATCCCTATAATCTTCTGAGTTCTTTACCTCCTAGTCATAGGTGGTATACTGTACTTGACCTGGAGGATGCGTTCTTCTGCCTAAGGCTGAGCCTGGTTAGCCAGCCCATCTTTGCTTTTGAATGGAAGGACCCTGAAGCTGGAATATCGGGACAACTAACCTGGACGCGACTTCCCCAAGGATTCAAGAACTCCCCTACTCTGTTTGATGAAGCTCTACAACATGACCTGGCTGACTTTCGGAGACACATGGGACCAGAGACGACCTCACTGACCAGCCCCTAACAGATACAGATGCCACCTGGTATACGGATGGGAGCAGCTTTCTGTGAAACGGTGAACGTGAGGCGGGGGCAGCGGTGGTCAATGAGGAGAAAATAATTTGGGCCCAAGCCCTGCTGGCCGGAACTTCAGCCCAATGGGCTGAATTAGAAGCCTTAACCCAGGCCCTAAAAATTGGCAAAGGACAGAAAGGTCAGCATTATCCATTGCCCTGGACATCAGCGAGACCGGGGGCCTATTGCTCAGGGCAATCGGATGGCAGATGAAACTGCCCGTCAGGCAGCAGAAGGTACTTGCATTCTCTACACCCATTTGGACCTTGAGGCTGAAATTGAGGCACAAACAAAGGAGGGAGATGCTCTTTTCACTTATACTGAACAAGATCTGGAACTCGTTCAGAAGCTCAACGCTACTTTGGACCCAGAATCTAAAATGTAGAAATATCAGGATCGAATCATACTGCCCCCAAAGGAGGCCCTTGAGTTAATCTCCCAACTCCACCAGTGGACACATTTAGGATACAAGAAACTAAAAACACTGCTAAAAAGAGAAGAACAACACTATTACTTCCTAGACCTTAACCAACTGGTCCAGAAGGTAGTGGGAGATTGTGTCTCATGTTCCCTGGTAAATGCTACCAGATCAAAGGTTCCATCTGGTAAGAGAGAAAGAGGGACAAGACCAGGGACTGACTGGGAAGTAGATTTTACTGAGATCCTCCCAGGAAAATATGGTTATAAATATCTTTTAGTGTTCATAGACACTTTCTCAGGGTGGGTTGAAGCTTTCCCCACCCGGAAGGAAACAGCCCAGACGGTGGTGAAGAAACTGATCGAAGACATTTTCCCTCGATTTGGACTGCCTAAGGTAATTGGGTCTGATAATGGCCCAGTCTTCGTCTCCCAGGTAAGTCAGGGAATGGCCAAAGCACTGGGGATTAATTGGAAATTACATTGTGCTTACAGACCCCAGAGTTCAGGACAGGTAGAAAAAATAAATAAAACTATTAAAGAGACCTTAACTAAATTAGCTTTAGAGACTGGCACTAAAGACTGGGTACAGCTCCTACCTCTAGCTTTATTTCGAGCTAGAAATACTCCTGCTATACATGGTCTAACCCTCTACAAAATTCTTTTTAGAGCGCCACCTCCTGTTCTCAATGTAACTTTGTCCCCCTTGCCCTCTTTTGATAACCCCAGCTTGAAAACAAGACTCTTGAACCACGATGGAAAGGACCCTACACGGTTCTCCTGACTACACCCACAGCCCTCAAAGTCCTAAACACATAAACCACTCTGACTGGGAATTAGACAACTCCGACTAGAAATTTGTCGCTATCATCCTCATCTCTGTGGCCTTGATCATCCTTGTTGCCCTCATCACATTGGTACTCACTGACCTTGCTGCTATGATGCTCCCAGAAAACTCATAGATTTTATGATTAAAATCTTGCCATAAGAAAAGGGGAGAATGATGGAATCAAACTAAAGCCCCCCAGGTTAAAGTGGATTCAAACCAAGTCCCCCAGACCAAAGAAGAATATTCAGAACAAGGAAGTAAGAAGTAAAATAATTCTAACTGCTGAGAAAGAGCTGACCTTTTCATGCTCCGTACACAAGCCAGAGATCACCTGAAACTTCCCCCCTCCCACTGCTGCCGGTTGCTGCCAGCCCCCCTCCCACTGCTGCCAGTTGTAGTTTGTGGTTTTTGCTTTTAAAAGTCACCTGTAAGCTGAGCTCAGGGCTGCTGCTCTCTCTCTCTCTCTCTCTGAGTGAGGCAGGGGCCTGTCTGCGCAAACGATTAAATCCTCTTGCTTGTTGCATCTCCTGGTCTGAGGACTGAGTTATTGGGGTGCGGCCTCCCGTGGACATTGGGTACCCCAGCCTGGGGGTCCTACAATACTGGAGATTGAACTCAGGGCCTTGAGCATTCCAGGCAAGTGCTTCACCACTGAGACACATCCTTAGACCTTGTTTTTGCAACAAAGTCTCACTAGGTAGTTCAGGCCAGTCTGAACCTCTCTATCTGCCCAAGCTGGCCTCCAACTTGCCACCTCAGCCTCCAGAGCACCTGCTTTGGTTTTTGAGTGGTCCTGTGTCTGGGCATGCATATATAACCTGCGTGGTTATCTGCCTTACCTTATGTCCTATACATCTTCCATTTTTGATGCTGTCGTTTCTTAATTTAAGTATATTTCCTCAAGGAGTCTTTCTTACATCATTGTTTTGTTGGGGGGGTGGAAGGGACTCACTTCTTTATTTCACTTTCTAGAAGGTAGCTTTTCTTCTAGATAACCAAGCAGTCATAGACAGCAGATGGCACTGCAGCAGAGATGGGTAGAGTCCTTTAGGTTCTTGCCAATCAGAGCAGCTGACAACTTCAGACTCCATGACTCAGGGTAGCACTTTTGCCCAGCCTCTAATAAAGCAGACATTGTTGTGTATAATTAAGGATTCCAGCTTACAAAGTAGAATGTATAGCTTTGTCTCCTCCACCTGACTCCCATCATTAAACCTGATGTCTTTTATCATCTTGTCAAAATGTCTGCTGAGAAAGGATGATATTGCTGATTTCTGGTTAAAGTTCCTGGGGCGACCACAGCATGATTTAAATGTAGGAGATAACTGAAACTGTCCAGCTAGTTTAAGGAAAAGAAAATTTCATTCTAACAAACAAGCAGTTATCTGAATATTTACAACAATAGAGAGATTTAGGATCTGAAATATATGACTTTTGTTATAAAGGTCCTTATTTTATTTACAAAGCTCAGGTTCAGCGTGCCTAGATTTCCACTAGGAAAAGTCACCCAGCAAGGGCAGCCTCAGAGGCTTTAGGAGAACTGCTGGTTCTCCCCTCACCCCTATAACCTTCTTTGGGTTTAGATTGGATTATTGAACTATCCTGCCACTGCAGAGCATAGCAACAAAAAGAAAAATCGCACTTCTAAGTAGACCCAACTATCCTGATAGTGGCGACATTTTCAGCTTGCTGTAGTGTAAATATGTATGCCATCTCACTTGCAATTCCTTAGAGACCCAGCTTGGTTCTCCACTGACTTCTCTTAGTATTTTACTGATTTCAATACTAGTTTTCACCCAAATGCATTGGGGAATGGGATGGTTTTGCTTTTGGTTTTTTGGTCAGGAATTGCTTGATCCTGAAGGTCTTGCTTTCAGAGAAGATATGGCAGGGAATGGAGTCAACCAGCAGTCGGTGATGGTGGAGAGAGAGAGAGAGCAGAGCTGCTTCTCGAACCCTGGTCCATTGCAGGACAGCTGCCGCTTTCATTCATACATACACACACACACACACACACACACACACACACACAGTAGCATTCACAGCACAAACCCTCTAGATTTTACTTTTAAAAACACACCACACAGCACTAGCGAGCCAGGGGTCCTCGGCGAGCCAGGGGTCAGTCGGTTGTCATGAACACGAAGGAAGCCTGGCAGATCACGCTTTCCTCACCCGACGTAAACATGCAGTCACCCTGGCAAGTCCGCTCACCCCCACCCCACTCTAGCTCGGCGATCCGCTAGCTAAGCCTGATTGCGTTCGGCGCTCGCCTCTCAGCCCTCGCGCTTGCGTATTACGACTCCTGCGCCCCGCGGCCCGGATCGGGAAGTGTCAAGGAGGAGCCAGCTTCCCCTGCCTTCGTCGCCGCTGCCGCCGCTGCCGCCGCTGCCGAACCCGGACCCCTCATCCCGGCGGGGCCTAGTCGCCATGACGAACGGTGAGAACCGGTAGCTCGAGCGGAGGGTGGGAGTAGAGGACGCGGGGAAAACGTGGCGGGCGGGGCTGAACTGACGTGGCCATTCTTCCCGCCCCCTCCCAGCCCGGCCCCCCTGGGCCTTGGGGCGCCCCTAACTCCTGTCGGGATGCTCCGACCGGTTTTCTCCCGTGCCCATCTAGGTTCCCCAGCCCACCTCGAGCCCACACCTCGACTCTTTGATCACTACTCTTCGGTCTCTCTTTTTCTTTCCTAGAAGTTCCTTCAGGTCACAGGGGAGTCCAGTCACCATAGAATTAGAGCTGTTTGTCCCCCAGGGAAGAGAGGACCGTCCTCCCAGTTTCCTCTGAATTCTCAAACTTTCTGACAGTAGGCTGGTTGGGAGGACCTGAAAATCAGAGGATATCAGATCCCACACTTTGCGGGCGAGGTGAAGGTAGACAACCCTCCAGAGCTTTTTGCCTTTTTTTTTTTTTTTTTTTTTTTTTCCTTTAAGTGAGAGCCTTCTCTTATTTGATTTTTGAAACCTTAACTTTTTATTTACTTGTTTTTATTTTATGTGTATGATTGTTTTGCTTGCATGTGTGTAAGTGCACCCGTGTTGGAAAATGTCCACAGAGGCCAGAAGAGGGTGTTGTATCCTCTGGAACCGGAGTTCCAAACAATTGTTAGCTACCATGTGGGTGTTGGGCACCGAACCTAGGTCTTCTATAAGAGCAACCAGTGTTCTTAACCGCTGAGCCATCTCTCTGCCTCCTTTTTGATTCTAAAGCCCTAACTGGGTGATTCCATCTGGAACTTCTGGCTAATGTTGCAAAGGATGGATTTAGAAACCACCTTTTATAAATGATGATGTAGCACCCTGTTTATCTTACCTAATTTTTTAGGCTTCTTTAGACAATTTTATAGACATGATTTCCAAATTCCAAGGGAACAATTAAGGCTTTTTCAGCTGGCTTACAGGAAAGGAAGTGAGAAGGTGTTTTTAGGCAGTGTGATTTGAGGGGCTCAGGAAAGTATTTCTCAAAAGTACCTTGTTCAGGGGCTGGAGAGATGGCTCAGCAGTTAAGAACACTGACTGTTCTTGCAGAAGACCCGGGTCTGAATCCCAGCACCCACATGGCAGCTAACAACTGTCCATAACTTCAGTTCCAGGGTATTTGACAGCCTCATCTGTCCTCCGTGGGCATTGCGAGACACGGGTGCACTTACTTGCATGCAGGCATAACACTCATACACATAAAATAAAAATAATGTTTTTTTTTAAAAAAGTACCTTGTTCGTAGACCTGGCACTGAAGACTCAGATTTCACCTCCTTGTGAATTTTGGCATTGTCTACAAAAACTTAAGAAGAAAAGAGTGGCACATAAAGGTGTCCATGAAAACAGTGGGGGCTGGGGAGATGGCTCAGTGGTCAAAAGCACTGGTTGCTCTTGCAGGGAACCCAGGTTTGATTCCCAGCACCCACATGGCAGCTACGAACTGTCCTTAACTCCAGTTCCAGGGGAAGCTGAAGTCCTCTTCTGACCTCCGCAGCATTGCACGGGAGCACTTACATACATGCAGGCAGTACACTCATATGCATAAAATAAAAGTAAAAAATTTTAAAAATTAAAAAAAAAAAACAGTGAGTGTATTGATGTACTGGATCCAGCTGTGAAGTAGTTTTCCTGGAGGAGGCAGGTAAGCAGTGGTCCAGAACCAGCAGGCATTGGTTGTATATAATAGTCATTTGAGGGTTCTTGGGTTGCCTTGTTAAAAATCACTTATCTGATAAAGGAAAGCTAAATATCTAGCCAAGTTTTTCAGATTTTCAACTATTGGTAAGTAATATGCTAGTGCAAACTGTAACACTTAATGGAAATTTCATGAGTTAGATTTCATATGGCTACAATTTTCTTATACTGTGTTCATACTTCATCCTTGATCTACTACTTGCATGTCTCATAAGGAAAAAGGAAGCTGGGCATGGTGGGAGGCAGAGGCAGGCGGATCTTTGTGAGGTCAAGGCTAGCCTGGTTTACATTGTAAGTTCCAGGCCAGCTGGGGTTCAAGGGTGTCCCTGTCTCAAAAACAAACAAAAGGGCAGGTAAGATGGCTTAGTGGGTAAAGGCATCTGAAGCCAAGCCTGATGGCCTGAGTTCAATCCCAGAATCCTACATGGTGGAAGAAGAGAGTCAACTCCTACAGTAGCCTTCTGACCTCCTGACACACATTGTAACACACATGTACCCACACACATACACACATACATAAATAAATCAATAACTAAATAAAAGTAAAATTTAAAAATTTACTTAAAAGCTGGATGTGGTAGCTCACACCTTTAATCCTAACACTCAGGAGGCAGAGGCAGGTGGATCTCTTTGAGTCCAAGGCCAGCCTGGTCTACATAGCCAGTTTCAGGCCAACCAAGGGTATATAGTGAGACCCTGTCTCAAAACAACAGCAACAACAAAGATAGGACATGGTTTCCCTATGTATTTCAGGCTGGCTTCAAACTTAAGATCCCCCTGCTTCAGCTTTTCCACTGTTAGGATTACAGGAGTACATCACTATGCCTCTCAGCTATAGCCTGAGTCTTTTCCTTTTTCCTTATAAGACATGTAAGTAGAATATCATGGATGAAGTACGAACTTGGTATAGGATAATTGTACCATATGAAATCTAACTCATGCAGTTTCCATTAAGTGTTACAGTTTACATTAGCATGTTACTTACCAACAGTTGAAGATCTGAAAAACTTGGCTAGATATTCACCTTTCCTTTATCAGATGAGTAATTTATAACAAGACATGTTTAATTCTTTATGCTTAGACTCCAAAGATTCTTTGCCTCTCTCAGCCTACTACTAGCACCAGTCATTCCCTGGAGACTAGTTTCACATAAACAAATAATGCACCAGATTTCTCTTTCAGGGTGAGAGGATGGGGCAGTAAAAAGGTAAAGGGGCTGTCTACAAGTAATTCTGGAGAAATGATAAAGTATCGTTGTTAGTCACAGGGCCCTGGCTCCTTATTAGGTGTTGGCACTGCCAGTTAAGGTTATCTTGCTATTGAGTTGTTGGGCAGGACCACATCTCCCAAGCTAGAGCTGCACCAAAGCCTTTCTTCTTTTCTTTATGTGACAGTGTATTCCTTGGATGGGATTCTGGTATTTGGTTTGCTCTTTGTTTGCACCTGTGCCTACTTCAAGAAAGTACCTCGTCTCAAAACCTGGCTGCTATCAGAAAAGAAGGGAGTTTGGGGTGTGTTTTACAAAGGTAAGTTCCTTTCTAGACAGGGAGGAAAAGATGGTTATCTCTGGACAGTATGATTCTATAAACTAAAGGGTGTAGGGTCGGGGTTCTATTTGGTGTCACCTGTTGTATGTATGTATATGCCTATGCCATGGCACACATGTGGAGGTCAGAGGACAACTTCAAGTATCAACCTTCACCTTCCAGCTTGGGACAGAGTTTCTCCTCGTTTGCTGCTGTGTGCACCTGGCTAGCTGTCCTTCAAGCGTCCAAGGATTCTCCTGCCTACACATCCTAGGAGTGCTGAGATTACAAATTCATGCTACCATGTTTGGCTTTTATGTTGGTTCTGGGGATTTGACCTTGGGTCCTCACACTTTTGTGGCAAGTGCTTTTTATTCACTGAGCCATCTCCCTGCCCTAGGATCTGTTAATTATATGCAGTAATCATTTCTAAAGTTAAAGGGAGAGGTAAATTTTAAATTTACTTAAAGCATATTTGTTTATTTTACTTTCCATGTCATTTTACTATTGTCCATGTAATAAAAGCATACAAATGCCAGGTGTGGCACATGCATGGAGTCCTAGCTATGGGAGGCAAAGAAGCTAATCTGGGCATTATAGTGAGACTCTCACTGGGGTGTGGGGAGGGGGGCATGTACAAATTATATAATTTTAGGCAGGCCTGAAATTCTTCTCACTGATTTTTTTTTCTGATTTTGTACAAAGAATATATTGGAATCCTAACTTTTGATTTAATTTATATGTATATTCTTTTTATTTGAGACACCTTCATCTGGAATCATACCTACCTAAGTATTCTTTCAAGATGGTGTAAAATAAAGCCAGGCATGGTAACACATACCTGTAATCCTAGCATTCAAGAGGATGAGGCTTGAGGATGTCAAGCTCCAGGCCACCCTGGGCTGCATAGTAAAACAAATGGCACATTCATGTAGAGCCTAGAGCATAAGGGTAGCATTTAAGAACATTCCCAGACCCTTGACACCCTTGATAGATCTCTCTAGCAATTTGAGAACTGCATCTTGACGACAAGGACTTTGTGAAAAACCAGATATAACTTCTCTCTTTACTTTTGTCTACTAGCTGCTGTGATTGGAACCAGACTGCATGCTGCTGTTGCAATCGCCTGCATTGTAATGGCCTTTTACATCCTGTTTATAAAATGAATTCCGAAGTATACAGCTCATCAGCTGCCAACCAAGGGACAAGGGTGAAGAACGTGTCGGAGGCCTGGACCCAGTGTAGGAGGGTTGAGCTAAAATCATCAATGTCCCCAAGATGACACCATAGCATCTTCCCCTGCTATATGTGGGGAAAACTCCTCATGGTCACAAACATTATTTTTGCTTCAGGGGACTACAGAAAGCCAACTTCCTTTGATCTGTGTGTAAATCGGCCCTCAGCAGCAGGCATATATGTCCGATAAATTACACCCCTTGGTGATGATTATATACCTCCTGCCTAAAAACCTGCCACTTGGGCTGTGTTGTAGCTCAGTGATAGAGCATTTGCTTAGCATTCTCAAGGGTTCAATCCCCAGCACTGAAAGAAAGAAAAAACAAAACAACCCTCTACAACCTGTCAACTATTTGGTTCTTTAATCCCTCAGAATTTTTTCAAACTGATGCTCATTACGAAAGGATATAGGCTGTATTTAGACTTGGAGAGACAATTTTCAAGATTTTTTTTTTTTTTTCATTGGCTGATTTGGATCTGGCAAATTTGGTAGGGAGGAAGGGGCTGGGTGGGAAATAGGAGTTATAAAAAGCCAAGAAATTATTTGGCTTTTGCAATGTGTCCTTTATATAGCCATCTGGCAGTGAAAGAGCATGGTTCTCATTGCAAAAAGAACAGCTGAAGCAGCTCAGCATGTGCTGGACCTTGAGAGTTTTGCCAAGAGGCTCCAAGCTTATGTGAAGTCCAGGAATTGTCTATGATGAGATGAGAAGCAGTGAGTGAGACAAGGAAACATTTTCTGTTCACCAGTGTCCCCAGAGACTTCACTCAATCAAATGGCATATAGAAAATGAATCAACTTGCTATTTTCTAAAGCTTTTTTATGTTTTCTAAATGACTTAGTGCTAAATACTGTTACTCAGTTTTAAATACCAACAGTAGGGGGAAAAGAAACTATTAAGGAAATAATTGATTAATATATTTGAAGTTATGGTAGAAGAAATAAATTAGTATATCAATTCATATACTAGTAAGTCCATCTAGTATAGGAATTTATTGTGGTGAAAGTTGGTATGTATGGAAACTTTGTCATGTTAGAAAAGTTGAAAACATACTTTAAGTCTGGGTTGTGCCAGTTTCTAGGTGATACTTATTTCTCTTAGCCAACTCAGTTTCCTTCATATTGCAGTAGTTCATTGTCTTTGAAAATTCTCTTTACTGTAAGAAAATGAGACATGCAAATGGGAGGAGTTACTGATTCTCATTTTCATGTTTGGAGAGTGAATAGATCCATTAATAAAGTGAGGGTGTTACTAAGTAAAGGAAAATGGAGCTTTGCAAATGAGTGCTAAAGGCTTTTCCATGGAGTGTGAGAAGTCCTGAGCAGATCATTTTAGGTGACTCAACATTTGAAGGGAAGACTTCTCCATCCCTCCTCCTCAAAGAATCAGCTATTTGATTTGTGAAGCCTGCAACTTCTTTTAAAAGAGAGGTCTAAACTTAAATTGTAGTAAGCAAGCATAGTTGAAGTGTCTTTTGCAGTAAAACTTGATTGGCCAGGTTCACTGTGGTTGACTTCTGTGTAAGGATATATTATCTTTTGTCTGCATACTCTGAAAGAACAAAGCTGCTAGGAAGTTTAGGTTCTGAAGTACGCAATTGAGTGCTTAGGTTTGTAGACATATAGAAAGTCATCAAGTAAACACTACATGTCTAATCTCCGTTGAGGTGGTTCTGCTTCAGGAATTAGTTCACAGGGTAATAAATTTCAGTGATTTCTCTGTTTGCCATGGTCATTTCTGAAGATCTTTTGCAGGAGAGAAAGGAAGTCTAGTGAGACAGAAAAGAAGAGGTACATCTTATGGATGTGAGTTTGGGACCTGTTGGCTGATTGCAATGCCACCCCGGAAACAGGTTCAGCATGTTTTGCACTTACTTTCTAGCTTTAACAATTTGTTTTCAAATAGGGCTAATGTCTCCAAGTTTGGTTTTAGAGCTGCTTAGTATTTTAAACAATTTCATACTGCAGCTTTCTGTGTGGGTCTTCTTGGCCTAAACTCTTGAGTTGTTATATTTTGAGATGCTTTCCTATCAGAGTGTACCAAAAAGTACATATGATGAAGATAATTTACAGGAAGAAGCAAATACACAGCCTATTTCATTTCTTGACTTTATGAAAGCAGGTCAATAGAAGCCTGTTTCATTTAGTACTTTGGTTGATATGTCTCATGCTTTTGGCTAAAAATGATAATTTGTTCCCCTGGGGGAAGGCTTTTGGGTGGAGGTCTGAGGACAGAAATATTGCCTCAGATTCAAACTGGCATCACCACGAACTCTGTGCACCAGGGTGAAATGAAGTCAGCTCCTTTTTATAGTTGAAATACAGTTTTTTATTCACCATTGTCTGCAAAAATCCTTGAAAATAAATTTTTTTTCCCTACAGTCTTTGACTATTTTGTTACATGATGAATTTATTGAACTTTGTTCAGCACTCCCTTGTGTTCTGCCCATAGAGTAGCATTTTGGTCCTCATTAGTGAATATCATCCTGGTTATCTCCTTGTGAAGGTTCCAGTAACGTATGATACAGAAGATACAGTGGCCGAGATTTCCTGTGGGAGAGCTGAATATGCGTATTCATAGATGAACAACTTTCGAAGTATATTAAATGCAGTAGATAGCACCTCACAATTCATTTTACCTAATGGTTCTTCTACTACATTAAAGTGTCATTTGCTGTTATCAGTAATGAACTTCTTATCCTAAGGGTATCAGGTTAAGTAGCCAGGTCCTTGGGAAATCTCTGAGCCAGTGGGATTCTGGAACCAATGTTGGGTACTTTTCTCACTATTTATTTTAGGTGTCAGGTGGCACTGGCATAAGTAGACATTATAACCAGAAATAATTTTCTGTTAATTGCTAAAATTCTTTTGCTTTACCATCCCACCCCCCACACTTTAAAAAGAACAGAGACTTTTTTTTTTTTTTTTTTTTTTTTTTTGGTCCTTTTGAGACAGTGTCTCCCTGTACCCCCAGCTGTCCTGGAACACACTATGTAGACCAGGCTGGCCTTGAACTCACAGAGATCCGCCTGCCTCTGCCTCCCGAATGCTGGGATTAAAGGTATATGTCAGCACGACTAGCAAAAATCAGATGTGTTTTAATGGATATGAATTTAAATGAAGGGTCAGCAGTATGACAGCCTCAGCATCCAGTTCTGGACAGCCAGGGAACCTGTAACAGCGGCTGGGGATATGTTGTCTTATGTTTCCCCGTTTTACAGATATCCTAACTTTCATTTTTGGATTTAAGTATTAACATGTTCTTTGGTTAAATGATACTTGCTGGGGTACCACAAGGCTCAGAGGGTAAAGACACCTGCTGCCAAGCCTGATGGGGTCAGTTCAATTCCCAGGATTCACATGGTGGAAGGAGGGAACTGACACCTATAAGTCGTGCTTTGACCTCTGCAGCACACCTTGGCACACATCACTTGCTCCCACTCTGACAATAAATGAATGTAATAAAAGATACTGTCAAGGAGAAGGGACACCTGGAGGATGAGGTGCTTGTATTAGTAATTACCTATGTAATTACTATGTTGCTATTTCCAAGGGGAAATCAGTTGTTCACCTATAAATCCTAGACTGAATCATCTCTTACCCAGAAACTGGATATTTTGTCTTTTTGATACAGGGTCTCCTTGTAGCCCAAGCTGATCTGAAACTCTCTATGTAGACCAGGCTGGCTTTGAACTCTCAAAAACCCACCTGCCTCTGCTGCCCCAGTGCTGGAACTAAATGCGTGGGCCACCATGCTGGGCAGAACAATATTTTAAATTTTAAAGCAAATAAAAAAATTCAAAGAAAAACTATAGATAGGAATATAGACATTTAAGTTATAAAATAGTTTGAGTGTTTTGCCTACATATATGTAAGTACACCACATGCATGCAGTGCTCACGGAGGTCAGCAGAGGGTGTCAGACCTTTGGAACAGTTTGTTAGCCACCATGTGGATTCTGGGAACCCAACGCAGGTCCGGGGCAAGCCCAGCCAGTGCTCTTAACTGCTGAGACATCTCTCCAGCCCCAACATTTTTTTATATTCACTGATCCATAGAACAAAGAAGCCGAGCATTCAGAGGCTGAACCAGGAGGATCTTCAGTTGGAGGCTAGTTTGGGCTATTTAGATTTTGAGACAAAATCCAGTTGATTATTATGGAAATCGGGCCTCCTGTCCCGGGACCTCCGAACCACAAGGAGGCAGAAAGGAGTGCTCTGAAAAAAAACGGATATGCAGGAGCCCCGGCTCGCTCTATGGTTTCTCCCAGACGCCTTCTCGGCGGGGCGGAGGGTATAAAAGACGATGAGCCTTCCGCTGTTTTGCGGCGGGAGCGCGGCTGGGGTTACGGATGGTGTGGTGTGCAGCGGTGCGGCGTGGAAGGCGCGTCTGGGCCGAGTGTGAGTGGATGTGCGAATGTGTGTGCGCGTGGGGCGTGCTAGGCGAGCGCGTGCGTCCGCCCCCACGCCCCTCCCCCCGCCTACACCTTGATCTTATTTGATCGGGTCGCGCCTCCGCCCCGCCGGGCCGCCCCGAAATGAAAAGCTGTCCTCCTGCGAAGCCCCCTCCACGGGGCGCTGTGCGGCGAGGCCTCTTGGGCGGTGGCGGCACCGCGGTTCCCGAGGCCCAGAGCTGGTCCTGTGGGTCCGGCGCTCAGAGGTGATGAATTGATCAGATAGACGAGGCTGGGTGTATCCCGGCCGCTGATTACCGAGGCGATTCTGATCTGAGCCCGGCACCCGGACGCGGCCATCTGGCTGCACAGGAACACGTGGGCAGCCCCGGCCCGAAGCCCAGGGCGGATGTCATGCCGCCGCCTGCAAGAGTTTTTTTTCCCCTGCCGTATTTCTTCCCGGTTCTCTCTGGCTGGTTCCTTTTGGCTGGGCTTGTTTTGATGTACCAACACCGTTCCCCTGGGCAGCCTGTGCTGCGGAAGAAAGTATCCTAATAGGAGGTGAGCTTGCAAAATGCAGCCTCCTGGGACTTGCTCCAGAAATAATATAGAAGCAGAGGGAGTCTAGGATGTTTTATTTTCTAAACATTAAAGGTGTTTATTTTTAATGTGCATGTGTTTTGCCTGTATGTATACCTGATGTGCGTGTAGTGCCCACTGAGACCAGAAGAGGATGGAGCCGCCATATGGGTGTGCTTAACCACTGAGCCATCTCTAGCTCCAGAGTTTTTTTTTTCTTTTGTTTTGTTGTGTGTGTGTTTGTGTGTGTTTGAGACAGGATCTCCTGTAGCCCCAGCTGGCCTGGAACTCGTTATGTAGACCAGACTGACCTTAATCTCACAGAGATCCTCCTGCCTCTGCCACTTGTCTCTTGTAGCTCAGGCTCGTGTACTTGGTATGTAGCTGAAGATAATTTTGAATTCCTGATCCTCCTGCCACAGGTGTTTACTACCACATTGACGAAAAAAAAAAATTTTTTTTTTCTTTTTGAGACAGGGTCTCCCTGTAGTCCCAGCTGACCTAAACTCACTATGTAGACCAGGCTGGCCTTGAACTCACAGCTGTGCCTCCCGAGTGCTGGGACTAAAGGCGTGCACTACCACGCCCGGCGAGGACAAAAAAATTTTATGCGTGTATGAGAGTATATTCTTTTCGAGAGTTAAGGGTGCTCAAATGTGTGTGCTGGTGCATGTGGAGCCAGAGGTTGGCTTCTGGTGTTTTTGACCACTCTACATTTTCTGAGGCAGAGTCTCTCCCTGAATGGTTTGTTTCTCCCTAGTCCAGTGAGCCAGTTGCACACCCCTTGAATTACAGGTGGTTACCACATCCACCAGTTTTGGGGGGGAATCCAAACTCTAGTCCTCAACTTGTATAGCAAACACAGCCCCCTCCCTGGCCCAGAAAAAAGTTTTAACATATAAATTGTGCAAGCTTGTGGGATACTAGTACATTTGCACACTGTGTAATGTCTTTAGGGTAAGAATACCTGCTTTATTTTCTAAACAGACTAAAGGTGTTTATTTTTAATGTGCATGTGTTTTGCCTGTATGTATACCTGATGTGCGTGTAGTGCCCACTGAGACCAGAAGAGGATTTGTTTCGTTTTGCCAGGCCTAGGAACCAACCTAGGGCATCTTGGGTGCTAGGCAAGTACTCAGCAAATGAGCTACAGCCCCACCCATAATCCCTTTTTCCCCTTGGATCTCAAGTAACCCAGGCTGGTCCTCAAGCTAGGATGACCTGAAACTCACTGTATAGACCAGGTTGGCCTCCATAACACAGATGGTCCGGTCCGCCTCACCTGCCTCTGCCTCCTGAGTGCTGAGATCAAAAGATGTGTGCCATCTGCTGTATTTAGGGTCTCCCTGTAGTCCCAGCTGACCTAGAACTCATAATATAGACTAGACTGGCCTTGAACTCACAGAGATCCATCTGCCTCTGCCTCCCAAGTGCTGGGATTAAAGGCATGTGCCACCACACCCAGCCTTGTTCTGCTGTATTTTTAAAAGCTTTAATATATGGCCAGGCTTGGTGGCACAGACCTGTAGTCCTATCACTCAGGAGGCAGAGGCAGGCGAATCTCTGTGAGCTCAAGGCCAGCCTGGTCTCTGTAGTGAGTTCTAGGCCACCTGGGGCTGCAGGGAGACCCTGTCTCAAAAAGACCAAAAAAAAAAAAAGCAAAGCTTTAACATATATATCACAGTAGTAAGTTTTTCTTATCTTTAGTATCTCAACCTATATGAAGTTATTATCCAAAAGACACATCTGTCTGCCACCTTCAGCCAGTCTAATGAGAGCTGAAGCTTCATATTCATATTCATTTGACAGCAGCAATTAGATGATGAGACTGAAGGGGCCTCAACATAAACGGACTTCAATAGTTCCTGTAAGAATGCCTTTTGTATTTGAATTGTTAAGC